CTACAAAGTGAGTTCAAGGCCAGCCTGGACTGCATAGCGAGACCCTGTCTCAAAAAGACAAAAACAACCAAAAAACCAAAAATAGTATAAAAATCACATTATTGTCTCAATAGACACAGATTTTAAGCCTTTGACAAAATTCAATATCTATTCATGATTAAATAAACCTGACAAAGATAGGTATAGAAGGACATTACCTTAGTCTGCTAAAAATCATTTATGACAAACTCACTGCCAACATAATGCTAAATGGAGAAAACCTGAAAGTATTTCCACTAAAATCAGGAAGATGATAAGGGTATATACTCTCTCCACTCTGGTTCAATATGTTACTTGAAACTTTAGCCAGTAAAATCAGGCAAGAGAAAGAAATAAAAGGAATTTGAATAAGAAAGAAAGAAGTCAGACTATCCTTACTAGCGTATGATGTGATCTTTACATAGAAGACCCAAAATGCCAGCAAAGACTCTTAGAACTAATGAAGAAATTCAGCAAAGTACCAGGATACAAAATCAATACATAACATTGTTCCTAAACACCGACAATGAATTCACCCAGGAAGATATCAAGAAAATAATCCCATTCATAACAGCTTAAAAATAATTAAATATTTGGAATTAACCTAACCAAGTTGGTGACAGAGCTCTATAACAAAAGCTATAGCACGCTGAACAAAGAGTTTGAAGGGGACATCAGGCGTAGGCATAAGGAAGGACTTTGTGAACAGAAACCCAGTTGGACAAGAAATAACAAAAATCATCACACAGAATTATGTCAAATGCAAAAGCTTCCACACAGCTAAGGAAACCACCAACAGAGCAAAGGAAAAAACCTACAAAATGAGAATAAATTTTTGCTAGCTAATCCTTTGACAGAAGACTAATATCTAGAACATGTAAAAAACTGAAAAATTTGGATCCCTATAAATAAAAGACCCGATCAAAAACTGGACAGTTGAATAGACACTTCTCAAAAAAAGTAGTACCAATAGCTAATAGGTACATGAAAGTGTTCACAGTCTTTGGCCTTTAGAGAATGCAAATCAAAACAACACTGAAATTCCATCTTACTCTAGGAAGAATAGCTGTAACAAAGAATTTTAAAAATGCTCCCAAGGGCCAGGGATATAGCTCAGTGGCACAGTGCCTACCTGGAAAGCTCAAGATCCTGAGTTCGATTCCCAGTACCAAAAAAAAAAAAATACGAAGTGGAAAGAACATGTATAACACAAATAGAATCTGAAGACTCTGTTTCAGGGAATGTAAACTACTACAACCATTATGAAAATCAGTACAGAGATTCCTCAAAAAACTAAAACCAAAAATTCCATTTAACTAAGCTATATCTCTTCTAGGTATTTTCCTAGAAGAGTGAAAGATGTCACATTACAGTGATACTCACATAATCTTGTTTACAAGAGCACAACTCATAATGGGTAAATCTTAGCGACATCCTCTGTAACCATCATCAGATGAATGGATAAAGAAAATGTGCTATGTATACATAATGGAGTATTACTCAGCTGTAAAGGATAAATTTGAGTTAGTTATAGGAAAATGAATGCACTTGAGTCTATAATATTAATTGAAATAAATCAAACACAGAAGGCTATATATTGTATGGTTTTTCTCATGAGAAATTCAACATAATAATTTCAAGAACAAAATAAAAGAGAGATAAATGTATCTGGAGATAGGGGGCATAAAAGGATAGAATAAATTGGATCAAAATGCAGTATGTGTACATACCAATTCCCCATGACAAACATATTTAACATAGTGGTACCTGGGTTCACAAACTTGATCCTTTCCAAGATTCTGGTCACAAACTGAGTTGGATGAGAACCAAATCAAATTCAGTGGTTAGGTTCAATGCTGACCTTATGGGGCAATTTGAGTCAGTTCACATACAGTTCATTTTGCAACCAGAATTATGGAGAGAAATGAGTTCATGAACCAAGGTACCACTTTATATCAAAACCATATACACAACACAAACATAAAATTTTTTTTAATAATGAAAAGAAAATCCATAACATTAGCCACAACTAACCCTATCCTTCCAGTGTTTCCTTGGGTATTTTGACAAGGATTCATGGATAACAGGTTGAATGAGACCCGCACCTTCCATAAACAGATTAAGTTTCATAGAAACTCGAGACTCACAAAGCTAGGAAATCATGACTTTTTGAAAATCCCAAATAAGCAAGAGGCTGAACTCAGTATCTAATTCCATATTAGAGGTCTGCTTTCAGAACTATTATTTATGCCTACCTCATGCATGAGGTAGACTAGGGCAGAGGTAAAAACAACTGCCTGGGTGCAATGTGTTAAAGTTCATAAAAGCCCATGGCTAACAAGTTGAGTGAGATGTTTGGCAAAGAAAGAATATGACATTAAGCTTATAGCTGAGCAATGTGGACCAATCAGAAAGATGCTGTTTTCAATCCTTCATTTTAATCTGGTGCTGTCTGCAGGACCAATCAGAAGATGCCATTTTCAAACCTTCATGTGCATGTGGGCACAAGCAATGAAGACACTGTTCCTGATCCTTCATTTGCATCTGTTGGGAAGTCAAGTAGGTCTTCTGATAGGGCATTTTAAGTCTGGCACCAGGCCACATGTCCCAATGCCTTATTTACATGAGAGAGAAGCCAGCCAAAGAATTTTGGATACGAAAAACACAGCTCTCCCCTTATCCTTGAGGCCACCGTGAGTGTGCCTTTTCATTGGCAGACTCTTGCCCTGTAGGACGTACCTCTTTTCTGTCTTCAGTAAATGTATACCTTTGCTACCTTTTCTGTGTGTCTTGTCCAATTCTTTGTTCAAGAAACAACAACCTAGAGAGAATAGCCATGGGACCCTCCATCCCACAACAGGCAGGCTGAATAAATGGCTGGACTGAAAGCCCATATTTCCTCTCCAAGGTCAGCTTGCAGCACATATGATTCTACAAACTGCCTTAATAAATAATTGTCACATTCTACTGAAATTTGTATCATCCTTTTAAAACAACGAGCACAAAATTTAATCATCCTAACTTTATGTACAATATAGACATTTACTACATTTATTTCAATGAGGAAATTAATGAAATGTATGCACGTAAAAATACTGTCAAGAATTAACTCTCCCTAAAAAGTGCTACTTTCCCGTTTGTGTTCAAGTACTTGGTAGGTGCTGGGCTCTGGTAATACAGAACAGGGTAAGAGGCTGGGGATATAGCTCAGTGGCGTAAGCGCCTGCCTGGCAAGCGCAGGGTCGTGAGTTCGATCCCTGGTACTGCCAAAAAAAAAAAAAAAAAAGAAAAGAGCACATTTAAAAAAAAAAACAAAAACAAGAAACAAAAAAACGGTAAGAGTGAGCAGAAGCTCCATCTTTTCACACAAAGCTGTGTTAGAGGGTATTAAAGGAAAGCTTATATGATATGTGAACACAGAAGGGACATCTATCTGAGTCTGGCTATCATGAGGGTACTGAGGACATGGAAAAAAAATGCCTGAGCTAACTGTTAAAGCAAATAGAGGCGCAAAATCATGTTAAGGAATAGCTCCTCAGACAGAAAAAATTAAATTTGTGTATGTAGAGATTTGCAAGATATTCAGTCTGGCTGGAGTCAGCTGTTGAGAAGCAAGCGTTAAAATTTGCATTAATTTGTAATGGACAGAAATGACCAAGACAAGAATTAACATTTGGAAACACACGTGCCTTAAATCAGTCCTAGGCCACGAAGACTGGGGATAAGACTGGCCAAAGGACATCTGGCCAGTGGAAAAGACCTACCAGGGTTCCTTAATAGAACACCTCAGTGCGTGCTAATCACTAGTAGTGTTGCCTCAAGGGAAGAATTCTGAGGAGCCTTCAGCCGTGCCCCTTCAGCTGGGACCAGGGGAAGCTCCTGGTCATAGTTAACAGGAACAAAGGAAATTCCTTTCATCCACTCTCTCCCAGTACCCAGATCATCCAAGATTCTCTGCCAAGAATAACAAAATCATTTTCAACACAGCCTAGTCTCATCACTTACAATACAGCCAAGGCGTAGAAAGGAGTCTCACGGCAACCATCATTTAAGCCCAAGCAGAGGGCCATGCCTCCCCCAGACAGCAAAAACTTGGACCAGAGTCCCAAAAACAGGCAAGTCCAGGCCTCAGAAAGTTTCACACCCCCCCCCACACACAAGCCCAATACTCCCATCTCCAATCAGGCCTCCTGGCTCTGAGCCATCAAGCAACTTTCTTTGTGGAGTTATTAACAGGGTTTAAGTGTTACACAAAGAAAATACCGTGTAAGATCTGTTCCACAGAAGGTTTAAAGTAACTCCTTCTTGCATAATTGCAATCAGTGACATCTTTCTCCTTTTCATCCCATAAGCTGGTGGTCTAGAGTGGCTGCCATCTCAGACAGCTCCATACTCATGCTTTCTTGTAAGCCTCATTGAAGGCTGCTGTATTTATCCTAGGACAGGAAGGGGTCCCACGTACTTTTCTCACATTCAGAGGCTAAGAGGAAAAGTCTGACATGATAACCAAAAGATTTCAGTAGATTTGTTGCATACAAATTTTTCCAGTACATCTGAGAAAAGATGCACTAGAAGGCAGTACAAGCGCAGAAATAGGGAGTAGCTCGTGTTTTCTAGGAGCTAGAAGGCAAGAAAGAGGATTAGAAAATCTAAAGCTACTTTCGCCACCCTAAATAAGAAGATGAACACTAGGAAGACTTCACCTTCCTCAGGCTTTGCCAAGAAACTTTCTAAAACTTAACATCACGACCCATGACTTTAGACAACGTCATTTTTTAAAAAATGAGCACATCCCCGAAAGAACATCATATACCCAAGTATTAAGGGCTCTCATGGGTGGCCAAATCATACTTACCTATGCTGGAAGATTGGTATCAAAACAATTTTATAAACTGAGTAGCTCACAAAAGGAAAAAGGGAATGAAGTAACAACACTTAAGGCAAGGAAGAGAACCTACAGATTGAGAGGAAGCTATTTCAGCATTAACATTGATATTTATTTCTTTTAAACAATTTTCCAATTTCTTGGGAAACCACAGTGAGCTGTACTGTCATTCTCACCTACATGTGCAGGATTGTGCAACCATCCCCTCCTGTTCTTTGTACAAAATACTCCCATTTGCCTCAATAAGAAGAATACTCATGGCAACATACTTATAGGGGACACAGGAAGGCTGAGGGACGCTCTGGTTCACCAGCTCATTAATTAGGTTCTGGATGATGGCATGATTGGGGGAATTGAGACTGTCATATAGCACTCGAGGGCAAGTTCCCTTACAGTAATTGGGGGTATAGTGGTTGGGGGCAATGATCCAGTGATCCCAGCCCAGCTGACGGAAGCTGACTGTGTAAGGGTGGAGGGAACACTGGTTGTTGTCAGAGTCATCCTGTTCCGAGGAGGGGGCAATAATCTTAGATGCAATACTATCTATTTGCCGAGTCTTCCTTGAGAGAAGAGAAGATTCCCCTTCCAAAAACTCCTCCAGGCCACTAGGAAGAAGTTCAGCCTTCTGAGCAGTTTTATGAGTGTCATTGAGATGAAGTAGCAAGAAGGCAACATCCATGGCTAAAGTGCCCTGCCAGGGTAACTCAAGAACCTCGCTACTGTTTCGCTGCTGACACATAAAATGCAGTCGTAGGACCCTCTGTCCTTTGCGATTCCAGAGCCTCTGCTGAATATGTTGGGTGATATCCATCTCTGTCCAGGTTTGAGACATCAGGGACAGCTTTGAGGGAGCTCTTCCTGAAGAGTGCTTATTTGGGCTTTTTGGGACCCATGGCTCCACATGGCAGGACAGGCTGAAGTGAGCTAGGTAGAGTTGATGGCAGTAAACCACAGTGGCTCTCACTAGTTGGTAAGCTACACGGTTACGTTCTAGAAGAAATTTCAGGGTCCATATATGCCAGGAACCTTCACAAGAGAGCACAGGGCAGGAGTTAGCTTCTTACCTCCTACCCTGACTAGCCCTGACAAAACTGTTCCACATAGACTAACAGATAAACTCAGCCCTAAAATTAACCCAAGAAAATGACAGTACCTATACTTTCTTCAGTGTTTATTGACATAGTATGTCCTTTATGTTTATGAACTCTTTAATCCTCAATGGCCTGAATATTTTTATCCTCATTTTGCCTACAAGAAAATTGAGGATCACAGAAGCTTATAAGGGACACAGAGCAAAGGGCTGAAAATATGTCTTGGTGGAAGAGCACTTACCTAGCATTGTGAAGCCCTGTGCTCAATCCCCAGAACCACAAATCAAAACAGAAAAGACATACAGTTATTATGTGGTAGAATCAAGATTTGAACCCAAGTCTGTTTCCAGCAAGAAATCATGTTTCACTTTGAGTTCACTCACAGAACTATTTCAGTAGGTAAAAACTCAAATACACAACTATATGTCATATCCCATTCATGGAAGCAGATATATTACTATCACATATTTCTCATTTAATGACCTACCTATTTAATGACCATTCAGCTTTATAACTGATGTACAATGTTTGAACTTATAACTCACGCTTTTTTTGTTTTTGTTTTTTGGTACGGTTCTGCACGTCTTGTTTATAAAGCCTCATTGTCCTTTTTTGTACCTTGTTCATATAATACTGTAATTTTTGCTGATTATACTGTAGAGTATAGTACTATACTTTTATCTCCTGTTATACATCATGGTATTTGCAAAATATAAGCAGTCATCAAAGTTGGAGTTTCCTCTGTTTCTTTGTTCTGAACACTGTACATATACTATATACAATTCCTTACTTAGCAACCAATTCATTTAACAACTTTGTTGCAGAAACTGAACTCAGTCATTAAATGTGGAATGACTGTATTAGGCAACCAATTAAGAGTTGTTGAGACATATATGGATTAAGAAAGTCATCATGTCACATTATGACACATATGCTGCTTTGGGGGAACAATGCACTATAGGGTACTATGCCTATCATCATGTCAAATCTCGGACCAAGCCACCACAGAACAACCGATCTATCTCCCACTAGTGAGGACAGCTATTTTTGCCATTTCTACCTTCCACCAGTTTCAAGAATTGCTTCTTGAGTGTCTTTTCCTCCTTTGGCCATCTCTTCTTTATCCTTCAGTTTCTCGCTTTTCTGTTTTGTGCTGGTAATGGCTCACCATTTACCCCATTCATTTTATAACCACTTACCTAAATGCTATTTTAACAAGGCCCTGATCACACAAATATTGCATTTTGTTTTCAGGGAAGTCTAACGACAGCTGCATATCCCTTATTGATTAAGAGCTTTATTCTAAACTTTAGTGCTGACACCTACTGTCCAAGGCTCTGACCTTCTACTCCCCTCCTGGCAAAGGTAAGGAACAAAGACTACAAAACCAGCTGTTAAGAAAAAGCCTTCTCTCATCTTCAATAGTCTTAGTAAGCATTTCCATGTGAATTTATATATTATTCACCTAAACTTTCTCCATGGAATCCACAGACCTGGAATTTTTCAGCAGTACAGGGACTTTCAACACAGTTTTTATGTATTATTTTTCCAGAATATTTTTGAATGTTTACATTCCACTTATACTCTCATGTTTGGGACACTAACCACCAATCACATGAGGTCCAAGCCAGGCTTCTATTTACAATCTCAGGTTATTCTACAATCCCATCTTATAAGAATTTTTTCAAGGACCCACCTATATATCTGCATCAGTCTGCCTGGAAAGGAACCCAACCTAAACTTCCAGCAGGCCTTCTGGTGAGGAAATGTCCTTTCAGACCTTGACATCATATATTTCCAGAAGCAGGGTGGGGTTGATAAGGAGCAGAGCAAGAAGGGACTATTTAGAACTTTTCAGGTAAAGGGATAATTCACACATCCTGTATGACTGAACCTGTCATCATCTTCTGGTTCCTTTCCAGAGTTCCTAGATGTCAGTATGTTTCTAAGTCACCCCGGATACTTGCCAAATTCTAGGGGTTTCTTTTTTTTCTTTATATCTTCTGGTTTTTTTTTTTTTTTTTTCCTGGTACCGGGAATTGAACTCACGACGTTGTGCTTGCCAGGCAGGCGCTGTGCCACTGAGCTAAATCCCCAGCCCCCTATCTTTTTTTTTTTTTTTTTTTTTGGTTTTTCTCCGGTACCGGGAACTGAACTCACGACGTTGTGCTTGCCAGGCAGGCGCTTTGCCGCTGAGCTAAATCCCCAGCCCCCCCAGCCCCCTATCTTTATATCTTCTGTGCAAATCTCATTCGCCCATCTGCCCGCTGCACTTAGGAATGGAATCCAGATCCCTTGAGCCCAGCAGTCCCTGTTTCTCATAACCTCATATCTTGCCATGCTCCACAACATTTACTTAGCTCCTGCCATGCTGATACTTAAGCTTGTTTCACAGTGGTGGTGAACCTACAGCATGTCTGCTGCAGCCAGCTGCTTGTTATCACTGAAACCTCGAGAAGGTTCGCCATCACTGCTGTAGAGCTTTGTACATGTTCCTTCCACCTGAATGAACTTTTTCTCTACATTTTAATGCCTAGTTTCTTACCTTATAGGCCACAGCTAAAACGTCACCTTTTTAAAATGCCTTCACTTATAACTCCATAGAAAGCGACAATAGCAGTGCTATTCTATACCATAACATTCTTGTTTCATTCTTTGATAGTACTTGCCGTAATTTGCAATGATTTAACTATATTTGCCTATCTGTCTCCCATATAAGAACATATGCTCCATGACAGTAAGGGTTTTACCCATCTTAATCATATCTATTTACCTAGCACTCCCTAGGTGCTGAATAAGTATTTATTGAATAAATCTCCATCCTCACCAAGCTGTTTTCTCTTTCCTAAGTCAGAATGTACTTCTCTGCCTATATGCATATTCACCTTTCTACTTCCCCAAGTTCCAGCTCAAACTTTGGCTCCTAAATGAGGCCCTTTAACATTCACTCTCCTCTTTCTTGCTCCCTACTGTGAGCTATTTCTTCCTTGGCATCCTGAGAGTCTTGTTGCTTACCTTCTTCAGATCACTCTAAATACTGTAACATTGTTACGTGATTATTTACCCATTCTTCTACAGGAGGAGCTTCTAGGTGACAGGAAGGTAATTATTTTTCTGTGTGCATCCAATCCAGAGTACCTACTGCTCAGTTAAAATCTGTTGGGGATTCAACAAACCATGGCAATTAAATGCACAGGCTCTGGGGCCTGAGAGCATAGGTTTGACACCCAGTTCTATCAATTACTAGCCAGGTAACACTGATGAAGCTATTCTGAGCCTTGGGTTCTTCACATATAAAACAGCTATATTAATCCTACTTACTGCATCTGGTAGTCACAAGAATTAAAGGAAAATTGAAAAAATGTGTTGTAAAATGCCTGGGACAACATAAACTCACAGCAAGGGATACCTAGGTAAATTTTGGTTGTTTTATGGGGCACAATGTCTGTCTATGGTCATCCGAGATTAGAGAAAGCCCCAGATTGGCCTCATGAAGATCTTAAGAGTTCTTTGAAATTGATGGCTTGTCTACACTCTCTAAAGAGCCCCACACTTCGGGAGCCGGTTTCTTAGAACAGTTTAATGCAGATTTTCAAAACAAAATCAAGCACTAATGGAGACAAGGAAAATTCCAAAACACATTTAAGGCCAATATTCCAAAGTAGCGACACAGCCTAAATAGGAACATTGCTTGATGCACAAGGATATTAGGATTCGGTATTTAAAACTTGACAAGTTATGGACAGATTTTAAAATTAGTCCCGAGCTCAAACACTCTCTGCACCCACTGTTTGTGTGACTTTTGCAACGATATATCTCTCCATTCCTTAGTTTTCCTATCTTTAAAATCAGAGTAATTGCCCCATGACAACAAATGGTAGTCTTCTCTCTTAAAGATTAAGTACAATAACATGTTCACATAGTCAAGTATGTAGACCCTCAAATATTACCTTGTTTCTGTCCTTTCTGAGTCTTTGTATATTTTCCCTACCTCAGCCTCTAAGAGCAAAAAACCACATAAACAGCTCTGCCCAGGAATACAGCTGAGGATTTCTCAAATACAATTTTTAGAGCTATAACAAGCAATAAGATTTCTATGAAAGACAGGGGTGTATATATTCCTTATTTGCCCTGCCTGGGGCTTGAAACTTTCCTCTCTAAGCCCCAGTGCAATCCATTTTTAAATTGTGGCCCTAAAAAGGGCATAGGCTTGATACCAGCTTTTCCCAAGCTTGGAATCCTTTGAAAACCATGCCTGAGGAAGCAATCCACCCACGAACAATAGGGCTGACTGTAAACCACACATTCCTTGTGCTCTACACACTACTGCATTTCCCACCCCTCTTCCCAGTATGGGGACGTGAGAACTCACCTCTAAGATGCTTTGTTACATTGGCTGAGGGCATCACCAGCCTCACCATAGTGGCCCCAATTGTGCGGTTTTCCCTAGGGTGCCCATCCGAGTCAGCTGAACGCTGGTACAACTCCAGCATGTACTGCAGGGGAGGACCTTGGAGGTATGGCTTTCTCTGTTCCTTTCCAGGGGCTTCTTCTAGCAACTTCTCAACGAGGGGCATGATAGAGGTTGCAGCAGGTGGCAAAGTAGAGCTTTCAGGCAGGGAGGTGACAGAGGGCTGCCCCACCTCTGCCATTTGGACTCTATCTCCCGAATAAAGCATTAGTCCAAAAAGGAGGAGGAGTCTAGGAGTGCTGAGGATAATCATCTTGAAAGGCTCGGTATTCAGCAACAGCTTCCAACCTCAGGCCAAAGGATGCCACTGTGACCCTTCTTTCGTGCAAGTAACCAAAACCTAGGTTCACAACCACTGAAGAGGGGCCAAGAAAGAAAAAGGGCAGGCAAACAGGTCCTATTTTGCCTTCTATGCGAGGATCTCCAGAGCCGAAGCAGGTCTCCTCACTTGACCTATTGACATGAAACAAACAGAAAGAGCAGGTGAATAAGCAAGCATCTCCCTCCCCACACTCCAGGGCTGGGAACAAGATAGTACACCTTCAAAAGGCTGAGGTAATGTAAAAGAGGGCCATTCCAGAACTTGCTTACTTACCTTATCCTGGAGGGTAAAATAAATACTCCTGACCTGCTAGTCACCACAGCTTTAAACACATGCCCTTAATCAAGCCTTAAAGGGCCAGAAGCCTCCTGCTCCTGTTTCACTTCCATGCCTCTGTTGCAGCATTTCCCAAAATACGGTCTGCCGCCAATTTGTAATGAAACTATCTGGGATGATTGTTAAGAATGCAACTTCTTGTCTCTGGACTGAAATACGAACTCTCTGGGGGTATCAAGTGTTCCAGGAATTTGCTATGAATGCTAAAATGCGGAAGTCAGATTTCAGTGATTGTAGCTGCCGGAGTCTGAGGAAGACGGCTTACCTACCAGTGGTTGTCAATCTTGGTTGTATTTTGGAATCACCTGAGGAGCTTCCATTATTCTGAATTCCTGGATATCACCCTCCAGGAATTGTGATATAACGGGTCTGGGATGTGAGGGAATCAGAATTTTTTGTTAGTGTGTAGCTAAGCTTGAAAATTCCAACTTGGAATTTTTTGGTTTCCCATGAAAAGTGTTCAGTGAGTTTTACTGGAGAAGTCTGAGTCAGTGGTAGATGAATCTGTGAGAGCTCACCTAGCCCAGCTGGTTAATAGGAGACAGCAGGGATCGGCCAATTGGTGATGGCTGCCCCTAGGCCAGGATTCTGAAGAAAGATGGTAGATGTAGGCTTGGCCTCACCCAAGTTTCTTGGGGTTCGGAAAGGAAGTTGGGGCAGGAGGTCAAGACCTGGTTAAAGAGATGATGAGTCAGGGCAGATTTGTGGGAAACCTTTACTTTCTAACAGCAATGTTTATGGACAGGCAACATTATTGCGAGCAGCCACACATTTTAGTCGGGAAGTGGTTGTTTTTTGTTTATGACAGATCTTATTTTTCTTACATAAATTCACAGGGAATAGGGCCCAGAAGTTCAGGCTCCTTTCCCTTGGAAGTGTGTGTCTCTGGGCAGAACAGGCTGATTATAAGAGTTGAGCCAGGGTACCTTTGTCTTTTGCTTTCTTCTTTTCCCAGTCATTTTCCTTCATGCATTTCAGAAAGCTATTTTTTTTTTTTTTTTTGGTTTTTCTCCGGTACCGGGAACCGAACTCACGACCTTGCGCTTGCCAGGCAGGCGCTTTGCCGCTGAGCTAAATCCCCAGCCCTTCAGAAACCTATCTTGGCTCTTAGAGAGCTTGCTGCTCAGTACTCACGTTAATACGTCTAGTGAGAACCTTGCCCTTAACTTACTGGTTTGCAATGCCAACAGCATGCTGCATAACACTGTAGATCCTTCCAGTTCTGCCATGGTAACACGGGTGAGCATTCCTTTCTTGACAGTATTCATTCTCTTGATGTCTACAATAACAGCCTTCTTGTAGATTCACCCGTACACAGCCAAAGGAACAACTCTGTTTCCTAAAAGACCTAGAAAACATATGCCAGGTGCCTCTCCTCTCCCTTTGTGTTTATTGTTTTGCTGGTTATTAGATGAAGTCAAACCCAGCCACAAAGAAACCAGGCAGTCTTTGTAATCAGACAACTCTATTACATGAGTTACAAGTCTATTTCTTATTAGCTGTAATTCAACCTGTCTAAGGCAAATTTCTTTACTTCTCTGAGCTTCAGTCTCCTCACCTATAAAATAGAAATGACACAATTTACCTCACAGGTTTTTATGAGAACACAAGTAACTAATCTATGTTAACTGTACAAACCCACATTAGATACTTGGCATATGGTCTAAATTGTACAAATAGATATGTAGGATATAGTTACATGTTTGAAATAATCTGTTTCCTTTCTCTTGTTTTTCCTTACATGACTGTGGGTTCTAACATGCAGTATAAAACAAAAGATATGGGGTAAGGACCACTGCTCAAATACCAATAATCGAGATCTCCACTTAAAATTATTAGCTCAGGAAACTTAAGCAAGGTCTCCTCAGTCTTAGTCACTTCATCTCTTTTTTTTTTTGTTTGTTTGTTTTTTGTTTTTTGTTTTTCTCCGGTACCGGGAACCGAACTCACGACCTTGCACTTGCCAGGCAGGCGCTTTTGCCGCTGAGCTAAATCCCCAGCCCCTAGTCACTCTATGGCTGGCTTACCCAGAGAGCTGCTGTGGTCTTGTATTGGATCCATTTATATTATCCATAATAGTAGACAAGCAAGGGATATACACATGTGGTCCACAAAAGGCAAAACCTGAATAACCAAGAAGTATGAAAGTATATAATGAAAATCGGGAAAATGCAATGTGATACCATGTAAGCTATGATTTCACATGCACTGGATTGACAGTATAGTAAATCTGACATTATTAAGTTCAGGTGATGACAGAGAACCTACGTAGGACAGTGATCAAGGGGTCTGTATTTAAGATTTTGAACATGGTTCCCCTTGATGTCTCCATGATAGTGGAAGGGGCTTGTATCTCTCAAAAACATTTCTCTATCATCTCTTTTACAGTGGGATCCTGATATAGAATCAAAGGAAGTAGAAAGAGAAAACATATTAGACTTCATCTAATAATCCAGCAAAAGGATAAACACAAAGAGAGAAGAGAGACAATGATTTTGGTTTTAATTCCCGGCTCTGCCATGTATGTGTGTGGGGGGGTCTGTTGCTTAACCTTTGTGCATCTTTTTTTTTAAACTATAAATTGGGAATATACTTTACTTTCCAAGATTATTATTATATAAGCACCTAGAGAAGCCTCAATAAATGGAAAATTGTTTATGTTTAATAGCCTACATTTGAAAGTATTTGTAAAATATACCTAACTGAAGGAAATATCTGCTCAGCACCTTTTAAAGTTCATCAGAGTTTTTATTCCATCGCTCTACCCATCAAGGCTTCAGGAGACTCACCTGGCTGAATAGGTCAGCTTTCTTGTTTTCAGCAAATGACATAAAAACTAACCCTCTTTTTATCACCAAAATGAAAGGAAGTTGACATGATTATTTTCTGTTAATTCCCTCAGGTTGGTCCAGTGCACTGTACTTTCCCAGCGCCCTAGAAGGGGGCACCCTCTGTCTCTCTAACTTTGTAGGTAGGGGCGAGGGTGGCTGTGTGGTTTGGAGGGAAGTGGAACAGGATATGTTAAAGGATATTTGCCAGTTCTTCCTGCTTTATGATATAGAGGAAAGAAACTCCCAGCCTGCTAGATGTCTGGTACAAGTTCATGTTCTCTAAAATCGAAGAATGAATTTTAGGAACAACGGAGATTAAGAGCAAAATATATTTATTGGGGGAAAGAAAGCTTCCCTCCGAGAGAGAGACAGAAGGGGTCCCCAATGGGTTGCCAAGGACCCCTGCCTTTTCCAGGAATTTTTGTAGAGCAAATCTACGATGTGAGGTGGGTCCAAGGTAGGAAAAATGGGAAATCACAAGGTGGGCATGATGTGGGACAAAACTATGGTCAGCCAATAAGATTATGAGTATAATTGCTCAGGTAAAATTGATTAAATTGGGATCAAATGGGGAAGCAAGTCACACAGTAAGCAGGCATGAATACAGAACAGAGGCTTTTCCTGTAGGGGGTCAGGTTAGTGGCTCTTTCTGGCTTTCTCAAGATAATCTATACCTATTTCGAATATCAGTCCCTGACGTTTATTCTAAGGAAGTATGTGGGTGTATTTGTTTTATCTTTTGTCTTGAGTTCTGGCCCACAGTAGAGGTGCCTGCCTCTCTCACAGTTGTAAGGTTATCTTTTCTTTTTTTTTTTTTCCAGTTTCATTTCTTTTTTTATTTTATTTTAAAGAGAATTTAAAAAGAACAAAAGCAAAATGACAACAACATAGACAAAAACAAAAGAAAGCAAAACAGAATGATACAGAGTTTTAGAACAAATGATAGGGATTAACAGTGGTTCTTATATTACATATTTTTACCTTCATCAAAGTTGGTCAGATTACCAGATGTAAGAATGAAGACTGATCAAACCATTAAAGAGAATAAAAAATAAGAACAAAAACATTATAAAAGATACAGAATTTCACCAAACAAGATGATAGGAATTCAACAATCGTTGTTATATTGGATATGGTTGTCTTCAAATTAACTGTTCAGATTACCAGCTAAAGCATGCAAAATTGGTCAAAAAAATAAATAAAGCATTAACTGTTCCTTTCAATTGCCTTCTGCACTGGCTCCTAAGGGGGCCCAGCCCTATCTGACTGCCTATACTTTTATCTAACTTAGTTGTCTATAACATTTAGAAAAAGTGAGTATGTTAAACATAAAATCTGACTATTTAGAAGGCGATTATTAGTATGACATAAAAAGATCTGAACACACAAAGAATGGGTCACCCCAAGAGTGTGTGAGCAGCAGGAACTCTTAATGTACTGTATGTTACATTTCAAGCTCCAATATGCTGGGCGCACTGATAAAAATGCATGAAATTTACAAAGAATGTATTTGTATCCAATTTGAGGAACATGGCCATTGTATGAAGTATACGTGTGTACTAGAATCTCTCCTTTACATGGCTATAATTTACATTTTCTTGCACAATATTCATCCAACATATATCTAATAAGCACCTACTACATGATTGTAGGGTTAAGGATGCAGGCCCTTAACCAGACTGCCTGGGTTAAAACTTAAACTTAACTAGTTTAGTAATATTGGGCAACTGACCTAATCTCAGTCCCTCAGCTTCTCATGTAAATAACGAGGGTAACAGTAGCACTGCATACTTTAAAGGGCTATGGTGATAATGACAGCTTGTTGGATCAAACACAGAACTTTTCAAAGCCCAAATCTGGAGGGTGGATGACTAGATAACTGACTTCTTCTACATTAGACAAAGAAAAGATGGCCTTCCCCTGAAAGTCCTAAAAATTGGCTACATTATAAATATCATTCCATTTTCTATTGTGTGTCAGTTTCCCTGGCAACAGACATGGTTGAATAACAATGGAGCCTGTGTCAGAAAAACTCACTGCAGAGAAGACATTTTGGATACTATTTGGGACAGAGGAAAAGAAGGTTAAGAACAATTGATAGAGTCCTAAGAGTTTGAAGGAGTTCAAACATGAAGAAATTATTAATGTTTAAGGATCTGGAAATGCTAATTTCCTGGTTTGACTATTACACATGTACACATGAATCAAATCACCACATACCCCATAAATATGTAGAATTATTGTCAATTGAAATATAAGTTACTAAATAATTCTTCAGTCATAGAAAATGGGGGTTGGTGGTGAGCGAGTCAGTGGTAGAGTGTTTGACTAGCATGTACAAGCCCTGAATCCCACCCTCAGCGCTGCAGAAAGTACAAAAAAAACAAAGACAAAAACAAAGGAAAAGAATGGCCTGCTCAAGGATTCAGCAAACATTCTCTTGCTGTGCATGTCTATAAACCTTGTCTTCTTCTCCAAAGCCAGTATCAAGTTTGGTGTTAATAAGGAAAAGACCTAGATCAGGATTTCAGCAAAGTACTTGAGACCAATAGTGAGAAAGATAAGGAATTTTTTAAATGGTCACTTTGTCTGTATAAACAAATCCTTTTTACCCTACTGATTCAGTTAAGGCCAGAAATTCCTATCTCACTTTTTAATTTTGATGCATGGAATACAGTGGACACACTGCTGTTTCTCTTTCTTATCCATCAGAAATATTCCTTTCATCTGTTGTGGAGGATCACCTAGGTGACTCTCCTTAAAAGAGGAGCAATTGCCTCTGTTTTGGCTGAGCCTGACCCTATTTCCATGTGTTGATATGCACAGAGCTGGCTAGGACTTTTCCTTATCCCTTCAATTGGCTTTAAGCAATGCACAGCAGTCTAGCCTAGATGCTGATGGCAGTCTTTGGAGACGGCAGGCATGTTTCCCTGACCCCCTTGCTCATGGCACTCAGGTATTTCCTGCCACTCTCACAGTCGCTCACCCTCAAGCCACTCCCTTCTTCACAAATGAATAAAATCTGGGTTCGGTCCTGGGTATAGGCCTTTGTTCCAGATGACTATCATTATGGCAGGACTTAGGACCCCTTGGCTCCCCATAACTACAAATATGCCTTAGTGTCTTTATTCTTGCCTTGAGTTGCACTGGAAGTGGGAGATTGGAATTAACTCGCTAGAATTCCAATAACTTTTCATGGGATTTCAAATATAAACTTTCTGGGCCGTGAGGAGGATTGGGAAGGGCTCTCTATATTCTATCACTGTGGCAAGATTTCTGGACAGCCCAGAATTTATAGTCTTCAATCACTCCCTTCCATCCATTTGAGCTTGACAGAACCCTAGGCCATTCCTCTTTGCATTGTCCTCAGAGAGGGAGAAAATTACACAACAACAACAAACAGGAAATCTCTGAAGCTCTAGGCAAGAGCACATGCAAGTTGGGTCTCCTGATCTGACCTTCAATCACCTTTACACAACTTGAGCCTTAATAAGGATTCATAACCATGCACTACATCTCATACATGTAATTAAGGTGACAGTGAATTCTGGGATAGGGTGTATGTTGAGAGCACCTGAGATGACCCAGTATCCTGTCAATCATTCCTGTCAGTCTTACCTGAAGACTCAGTAGGAAGCATCTGCACTAGTGTACATATCCACTAAATTCTAAGAGCCAGATTTATCTGTGCAGTGCTTTTTACTTTTCTGTCATCCTACCACCACTTTTTTATTCATGCCATATTTTTTGTCAGTATGGACTTGCCCTGAGCACATCTTTCCATGATCTTCAATAAATGCAATCACCTTTCACTTGCCACTGGGTGTATGCTTGCAATTCTTTGCCCATTATACACAAGAGCCTGGAGTATATCAGCTACATCCACCACAGTTAACAGAACCACTTGATTCATGATGGAAGTCCAATATCCCCCATACGCAATTGAAACTGAAAATTGAAGAAGTAAACACACTTATGGGCAATTGAGTTAGCCCCAAATTGGCTGCCTAAACTTGGAGACAATCCAAAACTTTAGCCAAATCTCTGAACATACCTCAAATCTTCTGTATTCTCAGAAGGTAACAATGCACTGTGTTTTACTTTTTGTCTCTTCTTATCTTAATGAAAACTTGTAGAAACCAGCTTGGGCAGGGTGGTGCTAGGGGACATAATAAAAGAACAGAGAAATATAATACTCCAACTTTAAGGATAAAAATGGTTAGGATTATTGTTGAGTACTTCACTGAGTTCTTAAAGATAGTATTCAATCTTTCAGAGTATCCACTCATCAGACTATGAAATAGGCTCCAAAATCAGAAGACTCTTCCTCTTCAGCAGGGAAATATATATCTTTAAGGAAAATTTATACTTCCTCCTTCATACATATATTCACTGAATGTATATTTATTAACTATATTCTATGTGTCAATTCTGTGTCAAGCACAGATAGGAATAGTACAGTCTTGGTTCACGAATCCTTCTGTTCTCAAATAATTTAGTTTGTACATAGAAGTGTTTGGCAAAATTTTGCTTCTGTTTGCAAAGTCCACATCAAGTGACAAACACAACCTCCACCATCTTCACCACATGAACATGAATATAACCATCTTTCCAAGAATTATGGAATGAGTTAAGTTCATAAACCAAGGTGCCACTTTATTAACAGTATTCCTATCTTTGTAGGATTTACAATAAAAAAGACTGACAACATATAAATAACCCCATGAAAAAATATTTTAAATTATGATAGTGTTGTGCATGAAAAAATTATGTGTTGTCATGGGAACATAACTCAACAGGGGATAAAGTTGGTATGGGAGACCCAATTTAGTCTGATGAGTCCATAAAGTTTTGTCCAAAGAAGTGATAGTTAAAAATAACACATAAAGGTTAAGTAGTTCACTAGGCAAAGATATGCAGAAAGAGCCAGGCATGGCATAGAATGCCTGTAATCCAAGCAATGAAGTAAGGCTGAGACAGGAGGATAGCAAGTTTGAGCCCTGCTAGGGCAATTCATCAATGTTCTGTCTCAAAATCTTTTTAAAAGTTTGGGGATGTAGCTCAGCAGTAGAGCATCCTGGGTTCAATCCTCAGTACTGCACACATGAAAAAAATGATGTGGAAAAGAATATTCCAGGAAGATGATGCAACATTATTGATTGAGTTAAAAATAAAAGGATCTTGGCACCCCAAGTGAATTAAAAGACGGAAGTTTGGCATGCGCACAGAATACATGATGAGGCTGAAGAATTTATCAGGGGTAAATTCACACACACAAATAAAACAAAGTCCCAAGAATAATCTAATACTGGTATATTCTACTAGCGGATTATTCGTTTTCATTATTGAGTTTTGGAGCACTGGAACATGTTTGGGGAAGAAAAGAAAGAATGAGTTTGATTATAGATATCATGATTTTAAGTGAATGTCCAGTAGGTGATTTGATATAAGAAAGTTCAAAAGAGGAATCTAGGAATACAAAACTGCGAGTTGTTGGCATAAACGTTATTATTGAAGGCATGAGAATGGCTGTGTTTATTTAGACTAAGATATGTTCAACCTCCAGGCCTTGGGCCACATGCTACCCTGGATAGCTCGTAATGTGGTGCCACAACATGGTAAATAAACTTTTAACATAATTATATGATTCTTAGTGATTTATTTATGACTTAATTTTATGGTACCCAAGCATGAACTGAGTATTCAAGAGCTGTGCGGGCAGGGTACAGACCAGGGCTAACCTACCCTATTGTTTTGGAGACACCGAGTCAGTGGTAGCACATGTGTTTCAGATGTTACAGATGCTTGTGTAACTTGGTGAATAAAATGCTACAACTATAAATAATGGTATTTCAAGCCACCTACATGTATTTGTACCTGTGAAGGTATTTGTTTATTATTACTAAGCAGATATAAATTAATTAATTATTAAAAGTACGCTTGTTTTATTTTGTAAACTAATTAAGAAGTTAAAATAGCTTTTTTAGCAGCTGTGATACAGGAAGCACATACATTCTAAAGGTGGCTTAATACAATTCCTCCTCATTTAATGTGGCCCAGGTAAACCAGAAAGGTGGACACATAGCATTTAGAGAAAGTGCAGTGAAAATAAGAGAGCCCAAAATGAAATGGATGATTTTAACATTTTAAGATTGGATGCAGGTCTCAGGGTCAAATGGGCAGGAAGAGAGTGCTGTGCCCAGCAAACAAAGAAATACAATGTTTTATGAAGAAAGAAATCACGAATTGTACTGAATTATGCACAAAAGTGAACAAAATGAGAACTAATGTGATCGCTGAACTTAACATCAAGGCCACTGACAACCTTAGTGAGAGCTGTGTTTGCCAAAGCTGTGGCAGCACTCATCTGATTATTTTATGTCTGGGGGTGAATGAGAGAGGAGATGATGGGAAAGGGAGGCTAGAAAATCCTCTCTCCTTTCTGAAAAGAGAGAAAAGAGAATGTGGAATCCAGTAAGTTTTTATTTCTTTATTAATGTAAAAACTTCCAAGTGTAGATGATAATGTGTCACGTACCAAGCCTATATTTCAGGCTGCAAGGAGCAGAAATGAATCAAAGGAAGGCTGTAGACAGAAATACTGGGCCCACAGCCAAAAACATTTTGGGGGAGTGCCCTGATTGGATTCAATGTGAACACTCGTAATTGTTTTTAAATAAGTACTACATTCGTTTCTATAATGGCATCTTAGCTAAGAGGAATTACATATAACTTGAATAGGCTAAGATCTTGTCTTCCTTCGATGAGATGCTACTGCTCACCTTAGTTTTACTCAGCATCATCCAAACTGTGACTTCTGGAGTAACCTCTCTAAAATATCCACCTGATCATGACTCTGTTCCGCCTAACATATTTCAGTTATTCTCCCCTAATGGTAAAGTCCTAAGGTTCTCAAAATGTAAAACAGGGCCCTTTCTGATATGACCCATAACTACCTTTCAGGATGTGTTAACATCCACATTTGCACCCTACACATCATTGAAGCCAAAGGGCTTATGGTTCTCTGAATCAGCCGAGCTCTCCCTTAGTTTCCCTGAAATTTTTTATGCTGTTAGCCTTGCTCACATATCTTCAGTGGAACTGCCCAACAAAACTCTGCTAAATGAATGCATGAAGGGTTTTACCTCAGTTTCCTTGACACTTTTTGAAAGAGGATACATGGCTGTATATGATAATGAGTGGGGTGTTTACTTTGGGAAGCTGGAGAACACTTACATACTGGGATTTCAGGGAATAATTGAGGTCTTCATTGCATTAAACCATCATCCTTCTTGTCACTGGACGTAGTCCAAGGAAGTTCTGCAAAGTCAGGCGATGGGGAAACTTGACTGACGCAACCCAAGAAGTAAGTATGTTTATTACTTCTATCACAGAGAAAGAATTTTTAAAACTCATTAGTAGGTGACACTGGAAAGATTTATTTAGAGCAAACTATACAGAAGGAAAGACAGGTGTTCAGAGATTGAGAAACATTATGGCCTGAAGCTGGGTATATTTATATACCTTGGGGTAGCTTCAAAATGAGTGATCTAGGATATATATTCCTCCTGTCTGTCAGGTTACCAATTTGGTAGGCTGAGTTAGAATGCAAATCATTTACATATGTTTGAACCTGAAATATGCAGCCTGCTAAATACCACATTTTCTAGAGGATGAGGCTGGGAACAGGAAGTAGAATTTACAGATGAGAGGCACAGACCCAGAGCCCAATTTACAGCTTATTATACCTTTAAAACCATTAGGGATTTTAAAAAAGGGTTTTCTGGAAGTAAAAAAGTCTTCAGTAAATTTTGGGTCCTGAAGCTGTAGTTTTCTTAAAAGTATGAATTCAGAATTATACATTTTTTCATCTTCTTTTTACTTACCTTAATTTCTTCTATCCTACTTCTTTTTCTCCCCCAAGATTTTGACACCCTATTCTTAATCGAAGCTGCTGCAAAAGGTCCACCTTCCTATAGCTGCTTCAGGATGAAGGGGCATTGATCCTGCCTAGTCAGGCATCAGAAGTCTCATCCTGACTGATGGAAAGGAGACAGGAAGATCAGGTTTTGTTGTTTGAAGAATAATCATTTTTTGATAGTCTGGAAGAAAGACAAGGAAATATGGGGCATCAGTCCACAACAAAAGGAGATCAGAAGCAGGACATCAGCAGGTCATTAAAACTTAAGGCAGAGTGTGACACTGCATTAACTTGTGAACATAGGTCTTATAATGAAGAAGATACATTTGGAGAGCTGTGAAGAATATATACCTAACATTTTTTTTATAATAGCTGCAGCTACAATGTGTAGGGCTTTGGTTTGGTAGAACAGTTTTTGTTATAATTTTTAATTGAAAATTTAACAAATAAATACCTAGGCCAGTCCTGGTGAACCTATGGCATGAGTACCACAGTGGGCTGTCTGTTATCACTGAAAGTTTTAAAAGGTTGACTATCCCCGCCCTAGGTAGTATCATTTAGAGATTTTGTGTAAATTTCATAAAAGACTAGATGTACCACATAACATCTTCAAATTCCATTTGGGAAACGAAGTTGAAAATCAAACAATCACACCCAGTGAAAAACTGATCTGATCCATTGATGCTGCAAGACTTGGAGGTTAATGTATGGTCTTGATGTATGGTCTTAACCTGTGGATAGCCTAATGTACATATTTTTATTCACTCCAGAGATAGCAATGGCTATAGATTTGTGCCACAAAGCCATCTAGTATCATTTGGGGCTGGTGATTTTATCCCAGTTCATGTTTTTCAACTGGTCGCATACAAATCAGTTATTTCATAACACATTAATGTGATTAAAGTTTTGCGCAGGAACTCATCTCATATTTTGAGTGGCATTGCTCCATATATAATAAGTATGGTTTTTCTGTTTCCATACAAGGACTGCTAACTGGCTGAGTTGCCACATAGTGAGTGGATAACAGTCAGAAATGTTCATCCTAAACCTGAAAATATCTGTTCTCGAACTGATTATTGGTTATCATCTTTTATGACAGAGGTTTCAGAAGCCTGAAATAGAGCAGGCTTTGTGTATTACCGCATCTGAGTAATAGTTTAAGCAAGAGAGAAATTCCTATGGCATTTTTGAAAAGGAATTTATTTTATAGGCCATTGAGATACATTAGTTAGTGCTAGTAACCTACTTCAAAACTGTAGCTAAAATTTGGTGTTATTCTGTAAAATTTTGCAGTTTTAGCCAATCATTTGCCTATACAGGGATACCTACTATAGCAGCATCAAATGTGCTAGAAGTGGGCAGCATTCCACAAAGCCAGCATGCATCATTTGCAGTGTCTTTGGCATATTGTTAGGGCACTCAGGAAGAATTAGTTTCTCCACTGGAGAAGGATGTAAGAGTTAAGATACAAATGAATTGATAAGACTTTGACTTGAGCAGACAGTACAGTTATGAGATGAGTTACATTTAACATGAGGAAGATAATTTAATTTAAACAGGAAGCAGAATATATGTTAAGGCTTGTATCTAGATGTCCCCCAAAGCCTCATGTGATCATAGGTGGCGCTTTTCATGGTGACAGACATGGATCTAGATTTAGTCCTTAGCGTGGGGAAAGCCAATTTATTAAAAAGGCTATCTTTCTTCCAGTGAACATGTTTGACCGCTTTGTCAAAGATGAAGTGGCTGAGCGTGTTTGTAGTTGTATCTTCATCTTCTAATCTGTTCCACTCATCCTCATGTTTGTTTTCTTTTGTTTTTGTTTTTTGCTAGTACTGCGCTGATTTTGTCATAGCAGCTTTGTAGCTGTAATTTCAAATCAGGGATTGTGATGTCTCCTGCCTTGCCTTTGTTGCCCAGGACTGCCTTTGCTATTCCAGGTTTCTTCTGTTTCCAAATGAATTTTTAGAATGTATTCTCTAGATTTGTGAGGTATGCTTAAGATATTTTGATTGGTACTGTATTAAATCTCAGATGAAATACAAAGGGAAAATCAATATATGAAAAAAATGTTCAACATCTTTAGTCATTGGTCATTCAAGCAATGCAAATTAAAACAACACTGCGATTCCATCTTACCCCAGAGAGAATGGCTGTCATCAAGAAATCAATCAATAACAAATGCTGGAGGGGCTGTGGAGAAAAAAGGGACCCTCCTCCACTGCTGGTGGAAGTGTAGACTGGTACAACCACTGTGGAAATCAGTGTGGAGATTCCTCAAAAAACTAGGATTGGAAGTCTCATTCCACCTAGCTATTCTCTTTCTAGGTATTTTCCCAGAAGAATTAAAGCATCACACCTCAGCGATACATGTACACCCATGTTTATAGCAGCAGAATTTGTAACAGCTAAATCTTGGAAACAGCCCAAATCCCCATCAACCAAGAAATGGATAATGAGGAGGTATTTTTATACAATGGAGTATTACTCAGATATAAAGAAGTAGAAACTCAGGGTTTTCATAGGTCAATGGATGTAACTACAGACCATACTTATAAGTGAAATAAATCAGATTCACATGTGTAAACACTGTATTGTCTTCCTAATGTAAGAAACTGAAAGAGTAAACAAAATCCTAAATGTACAATAGATATTGTGAAAGGGGAAGAAACTGCTTAAAAGCAAAGGACAACTGGGATGGGGGAACAGAGAAAAGGAAGGGAATATATATACACATATACACACAAGATAGCTAACATAATTATACTACTAATTTCTATTAATTCATTGAAAAGAAAGGTTTGTGCTTACATTGCTTGATTAATTCTGCATACTTCTATCTTGTAATCTAAGCAACTACTTTAAAGATAACAATATGTAATATATTAACTATTGTTAATTTCCTATTATCTTCTTTTAAAATTTTTTATCATTGTTTTTATTGTTTTTCTCTCTTTAAAATGAAAAAAAGATGTGTTGCCAACAATGAAGTAAATAAAGTATTCTGGGAAAACTAGGAAAGCTTAAGTGAAAATTAAGTCCCCAAATCTGCAGGTTAAAGGCAGTAAAAAATGTCTAGCCTTTGGAACACTGTCAGTACTAGTCATAATATAAGTCTTACTAGAAGAGGTTCAGGGCATTGGGCCAAGGCATAATTTAAAGCCCTCATATCCGAAAGAAAATTAATACTTTTACCTACCACGTCAAGTGTTACCTGAGGTTCTTCTACAACAGTGTTGACTAATCTATGACACATGGGCCACAGCAGGCTATTTGTTACCATTGAAAGATCTAAAATGTTTGCCATTACTGCTTTACAGTGATGTCTGTTTCGCTGAAATGGGATTTAAGAGACTGTAGGCATCTTCGGTCTTTCAGAGCAGCCATAAAAGAATTGAGTTTATCTTTTCTCTCTTGAGAGATGATGGCAGTCTCATTTTCAGTGTCTTCTTCTCTTTGCAGAGGAGGCATATCACAGGAGAAGAAGGGTCTGGCTTACTGCATTTCTTACTCCAGTGTCCAGGCTCTCCAAAGCAGTAGCAGCCAACTGGTCTCATCCTCCCTTTTTACATGGGGAACACTGGGCTTTCCCCGAGGAAGCAGGGTTTTACTTTTTAATGTCAAAGCAATTAACTGGCCTGTTTTCATGCCTATAGTTACATTGCCTGGGGCTTTACTGACTTACACATCTTTTCATTCCTCCAGTTGTGGAGAAGGTCATTATACAGTTTACCTTTCAATGTATTGCCTATATGGGACTTTGAGCCTTACCAAGCCATTTGATTGTTTCTGGAGGAAGTCTAGCAAAAGCATTAGTATAAAAAGAAACGAAAGCAGGACCTTCGTCCCTGTGGAAAGCCGCTGGGACATCACTAGATGCTTTGCTGAGATACGTCCAAAGGAATGATGACACGAGGGCTGTTACCATTTGTCCTGTTTGTTTCCACCTCTTCCCATTACTTAATATCACAAAGTTATAAAATTTGAGTTTCCCAGTTACACAGATGTGAACCTCCAAGTTGGAGAGGAAAAAGATCAAAGGGGAATAAGAAGGAATAAGTTTCCTTGTCTTAATCCTACCTATCTTTACTTCCTCTATCCTACCTCAAATTAACACACCAAGGAGAAAGGACTTGTGAAGCCCAAGGAAAGATTCTACTCTATACATCATAGGTCTCTGTATGGCTGATTGTGTCAATTTGAGAAGTCTAGAAGCTTAACTAAGCTCAGCAATTCTACACCCTAGGTTACAGAGGCCCTCCCTGGGGTGGCTAGTTGCCTGGATATTATAAAGGGGACATAAGGAAGGACAGATCTGCTTCTGTTCTTCAGAACAGCTCCAGTCTTAGCCTTCAGCTGGGACATCATCTCCTAGTTTTTAGCAAAGACCCTTCAGCTTCTGCCTGTGATTCTTCAGCTTTCCAGCATAGACGCTACAGCTTTCAATCGCAGATCCATTGGCCTCTTGATAGGGACTTGTATGGGACACTGCAGTGAACTCCAGACTCTGGACTGAACCTTTCAGTCTCCAGTGTGCAGACCCCCCTCCCCCGGCGCACTTCCTCATCCAACTCTGTGGCTGACCATCGTAAGCCAATCTTATAGCTGTGTACACATTTGTATATCTTATGTTATATCTATTTCTCTAGTAAAACACTGACTGATACAGTCTCCTCTAAGAGAAGGAAATGACCAAAGTCTACAGCAAATGGGAGGCTTGGATACCATGAATTACAGAGCAGTGGAGGGAAGGACAAGGAGTCAAGCCTCAGCCCAGCAACTGATTCCCAACAAAAACAGAAGGAGGGGAATTAAAATGCAGTGCTCTAAACTTGTGCACTAGTGCACAGGAAGAGCCTGAGAATATTATAGTTTATGCATACTAGAATTTCCAGAGACAAAGGTGGCACAATTTGCCCTGGTTGTGCACTCTCTTTGGTCTGCTTATGGCAAGAGTCTTACCCATCCAGACTCTCTGGGAGAAAAAAAAAGGTTAATATTGCTGACCATTTGAAAAATACAAATTGAAACAACATTGAGATTCCACCTTACTCCAAAAAGAATGGCTGTCATCAAGAAATCGACCAGGACCAGATGCTGGGCAGGCTGTGTTTGTCGGGAGAGGTACCTTTCTCCATGGTTGGTGGGAGTAAAAACTGGTACAACCACTATGGAAAACAG